ACTACATTCTGCCAAGCGGGCCTCTCGCGCCGAATGTCGTAATCATTCGAACGCCCATGCGCGCGTGCTGGGGGGGGCACGATCCGTGCCAAATAACACCACGCGGGCCACTCTCGCGCGTCGGCCGCGCGCGCGCATGTCGAACTCTTTCCGAAACCTTCATCGCCGACGCGAGGATGCCGTCATCGTCGGCGGCGTGGTCAGCATCGGCGCCGTTACAGGCCGTGACGTCGTCATTGTCACCATTGTCACCAGCATCGGTATTATCACCATCGCGTCTACCGTTGTCGACGATGCCATGATACCGCACCCGCCCAAGTCGCCGACTTGAGCTGAAGTGCCCGCTGGGAGGCGCCCAGCGGTCAGCGCCACCGCGGACGCGTCGTTCGCGCCAAACTGGCTGGCCGCTTCACGCGCGAGCATGCGCGCGAGCGCGGCCGCAGAGATGCATCAGCCAACGCCAAGCACTCATCGCAATCGCCGCCGCATGGGTTTGCAAACCAAGTTGCGGGTGGGTGGGGCGGTTGCGCGAGCAGTGGAGTTGAGAAACTCACCGCGAACCGAAATTGATGGCACCACATTGGCTGCACAACACATTTTGCAAAACATATCTTGCTCCACATAGGTTGTACAGTATGTACAGATCAGCATACGAGCGGCAGCCGCTCTGCGGCTGGTCGGGAGTTTCTGTACATATCAGAAGGGGCGCGCGCGGGAGGCGGTGGTGCGGCGGGCGAGGATGAGGGTGATGAGGAGCAGCAGGGCGAGGCTCGCGAGGAGGAGGGTCAGGAGAGTGAGACTCACGCGGCTCAGGAGCAGGCAAGCGTGGAGCAGGAGCGTGAGAACGTTGAGAAGGAGGGCCAGAAGAGCGAGGATCAGGATAATGACGATCAGCAAGGAGTGAGGATCGGGCAAGTTTGGATCATGAGGGTGAGGATCAGCAGAGGAAGGATCGGAATAGTGAGCATCATGAGGAGAGCGAGGATCATGAGAATGAGAATGAGCATGAGGAGGGTGAGGATCAGGATCGTATCGTGAGGAAGGAGGATGAGGGTGAGAAGAGCGAGAATCAGTAGAGTGAGGATCATGAAGGTTAATGTGAAGGGCGAAGGCCCTGAGGGGAGCTATCTAAGAGGGAGGAAATCAGCATTGCGAGGACCTACCTTGTCACTCCTCCTCCTCCCTCCTCCTCCCTCCTCCTCCTCCCTCCTCCCTCCTCCTCCTCCTCCTCCTCCCTCCCTCCCTCCCTCCCTCCTCCTCCTCCTCCCTCCTCCTCCTCCTCCTCCTCCTCCTCCTCCTCCTCCTCCTCCAACTACTGGGGGCCTCCGTCGGCGAGCGATCCCGCGACCTTGCGAGGATGCCTCGAGCGAGAGCCCCCAAACTGGGACACGCCCGGCACGCCTGGTGCGCCCAGTGGGCTCCCCGGAGCTGGTCCCTGGGGGCGCAGCGGGGCCCGGCTTTCTCTCGCGCGCTGGGTGTCGACTCCGCGAGGACGCCTCGAGCGAGAGCCCCCGACAGAGCGCCCGGCGCGCCTGGTGCGCTCCCCGGAACTGGCCATGGGGGCGCGGCGGGGCTCGACTTCCTCTCGCGCCGGGGGGGCGACTTTGAGAGAATGTCTCGAGCGAGCCCCAGACTGGGCCACGACCGGCGCGCCGGGTGCGCGCGGTGCCCCTGCGGCGCTCCCTCGAAGTGCTCGCTGGGGGCGCGGCAGGGGCTAACTTCGCGGGGGGGTCGACTTTGCAAAGATGTCTCGAGCGGAAGCCCTGGACTGGGACCCGCCCGGCGCGCCTGGTGCGCTCCCTGGAATTGATCCCTGGAGGCGTGGTGGGGCCTGACTTTTTCACGCGCCAGGGGTTCGGATGGCGTGAGTTCAACAGAAACTCTTTGAAAGAAATACACATACAGATTTGCATTCACAATGCACTGCATAAGCTGCACAACATGTTTTGCACCACATGTTTCTCACCACATAGATTAATCAACATAGATTCTCTTTTCGGCAACAGTGATAAAAATCGACCCCCTTTGGAATGAACGGTCCCCTCGTCGTATTGCATGTTTCATACGGTTCTGCCCCATTGACCATCCGATGTATGAGTTCGTTTCATCCCAACCAGATTGGTATCCGTCCCCACCCCCCACCCCCTTGCAACACAAATTATGCGCGCACTCGTTCATCACCGATCCCACTTTTCAAAACCAACTACGAAGAATTAGTGAAGCGCACAAATCCTTCAAACACTGATGATCCCGTAGGGATTTCAAAATCGAGTGTCCCGTGACTTTTTAAATATAAAAATCCAGTTTGATCAGAAACCAAAAAATGCGTTCGCGCTGTTGCGTGTTCTTGAGAAGATCAGAGAAGATCAACCTTATCATCACATGCTACTAAATCGGCCTTTTCGCGCGCGCATGTCGACACCGCTCGAAGATCCTTGCGCGCGCGTTGTCGCAAAAATCCCTTGCAAAAAACGTAGCGCACGCGGGCGCATCGTCGCGCGCGCACGCCGCAATCTTTCAAAAATCGTGAATTCCGTATCGAGCTTCAAGAAAAACTGCGCTCGCGCTCTTGCGGGATGGGGGGGAACATTACATTATGCTCGCTTCTCGCGCCGCATTTAGAAATAATTCGAACACGGCCCGTGTCGAATCATACCATGCAGGCCATTCTCGCGCGTCGGCCGCGCGCACATGTCGAACTCTTTCCAAAACCTTCACCACCGACGCGAGGACGCGGTCATCGCCGTCGGCGTGATCAGAATCGGCGCCGTCACTGGCCGTGCCGCCATCGTTGCCACCATCGTCACCAGCATCGCTACTACCATCATCGCGTCTACCGTCGCCGACGTTGCCATGATACCGCGCCCACCCAAGTCACAGAATTGAGCTGCAGAGCCCGCTGGGAGGCGCCCAGCGGCCAGCGCCACCGCGGCCGCGTCGATCTCGCCAAAGTAGATGGCCGCTTCGCGCACGAGCATGCGTGGCCCAGCGCGGCCGCAGACATGCACTGGCCATCGCCAAACACTCGTCGCAATCGCTGCCGCACGGAATGTGCAAACCCACCTGCGGGTGGGTGAGTGGGATGATTGCACGAGCAGTGAAATTTACAAGCCCGAACAACAGAAATTAAGCGTTCAACATAGAATGCACAACATAGGTTGCGCAACCCAACATTCGGAAACATACACTCACCTTCCCAAAACAAAGAGTTTGAATCCACCACACACCCCGAAGGCGGAACTATCCGTCTGCCGTCCATAATGCAATGTACATACGGCCCCACCCCATTGTCCACCAATCCAAACCACCGAATTGTCCACCATTCAGACCATTGATCACCGTCCCACTCCTCTGCAAAAAACGCGCGCGCTCGGTTATCAAAAACCATCCGCTACCAAGAACCCATCGCCAACAAAGAAAAAAACGGACGATGCTCACACGAGCGCGTAGTCGCGCGCACGTGCCGCAATCTCTCAAACACGCAGGTGATGCACGGATTTCAAAATCGAGTGCCCCGCACACATATAACACACACACATGGTGTTGCAGCAGCAGCTTGTGTGTTAAATGCCTGCGCGCTTGCAATTGTTTTAAGGAAGTCATCGATGGTTCAACCTGTTCATGATATTCGACGGAACGGGCCTCTCGCGCGCGCATGAGGGAATCATTCGAAAGCCATTGCTCATGTGCTGCTCGGGAGGGGCACGATCCCTGTCACATAACACCATGCGGGCCACGCGCGCGCGTCGGCCGCACTCGCATGCCGAAATCCGACCAACACCTCCACCACCGACGCGAAGACACCATCATCGTCATCTGCGTGATCAGCATCGGCGCCGTCATTGGCCTTGCCGTCGTCGTCGTCGTCGTCGTCGTCGCCACCATCATCGCTACGACCATCATCGTGTCTACCGTTCCCGACATCGCCACGATACCGTGCCCAGCCAAGTCGCCGCCTCGCACTGAAGTTCTCGCGCGTCCGCGTTAGCGCGGCCTGCGAGACGTGCTGGGGCGTGCCCAGCGGTCGGCGCCACCGCGGTCGCGCCAGTCGCACCAAACTAGCTGGCCGCTGTACCCGCGAGCATGCACGGGCGAGCGCGGCCGCAAAGATGCACCAGCCAGCACCAAACACTCATCGCAATCGCCGCTACCACATGAGCTTTGCAACCCAAACTGCTGGCGGTTGGGTGGGATGATTGCGCGAGCACTGGGATCTACAACTCGAGAGGTTCCAAACGTAATTACGCCACAAAGATTGCACCACATGCATTGCTCCACAAAACTTGCACAGCATATGCTTTATCACATGTATTGCACCACATATCTTGCTCCACATAGGTTGCTCAACATGGATAGGCCACATCAGTTGACAGAAACACACCACTGGGGCTCCACGCTGGCTAACATTTGGATCACTAAGAAATCGACGCAGGGGCGCTATCGCCATGCATCCCAACCCTTTTCCTACCTTTCCGAGGGATCACAAACCTTCTGTGAATCCTCGGGGCATTCGGGGGAGTGAGACACTTACGCTGGGCGCCTGCAGGGAGACTGACCTCTTACCTGATGTGCCTGATGTACGCCCTCCTGGGCGAGGCCAGGAGACTCCCCAGACATGCGAGATCTTGTGTTGTTTTAATACGCGGTCCCTTGAAGCCCTGATTCTTTCCCCAGGGCCCGCTCCTCGTCCCGAGTCGTTGTTTACGGTCCTGGGGCCCGGAAAGGACCCCCATGAGGTGTAGAACAACTGCTTTCGTCGCGGCGAAGCAAACCCGCTCGCGCGTCGAGTAACCCGGGCTACGGCAGTGCGAACTCATGTTTTCCAGGACACTGCAAATGCTGCAGGAAACGTCAACGAACATCCGTGTTCCAGAAAAGGTCGAGAAACCTTCGCCTTGATGCTTGCAGGACGTTGCAAGGTCCAGGTCCGTGCGCCATGGCCCAAGACGGCCGTGGCTGGGGCATGGCGGTGCCCGCGTGCGGCCACCCTCGGCGGAGACCTCCTGGTACTCCTCGGAGCCCCCGAGCTCGGCCTCCCAGAAGAGGCCCCAGGCCTCCCGGCTGACGTAGTACTTGTCCTCGGGGCCGTGCGCGGCGATCATCTTGAAGACCTGCTGGAGTTGTGCCCCCGACACTCTCGGATCCAGGATTCGGGGCGTGTTTTTCTCGACGAGGCGAATGTGGTCTACATATGATCGACCTCGCCGAGCGTCCTGGGACTGGAAGGCCACGCATGACCACGTACCATCCAACCAACCTGCACAAGATGGCGCGAAGATTCCTCTCAGAGAGGGATGGGCGAGAGAGGGACGTAGAGCGACACGTCCGGTGGGGGCTCTGCAAGCCTCTGCAAGCCTCCAGGGGCATTCGGGGAGCTCCAGGCGCGCCTGGGGACGACCAGGGGCAGGATCATAGAACAGCACTGCATAATGGCCATGTGCAGAGGAATCAAGAAAGCATGAGGACCTGCTTGGCCTTCAAGCCGCAGAGCTCCTCGCAGTCGACATGGGCGTTGACAAGCCCAGTGTTCCACTGGCCCATCGAGAACCTCCGAGTATGCAGAAAGCAACGGAGAAGGGCCCTTGTGCGGAGTGGCTTGTACAAGGTGCGGGGAGGGACGCAGAGGGGGGAAGCAAGCGCTTTGTACCCATCCTCATCGTCTTCCTCCGCCACCTCCTCACCATCGGCTCCATCATCATCATCATCAGCAGCAGCATCATCAGCAGCATCATCATCAGGATCATCATCAGCATCATCATCAGCAGCATCATCACCCTCATCCTCATCCTCATCCTCATCCTCATCCTCATCCTCCTCATCATCATCATCATCATCATCATCATCACCATCATCATGTTCATCAGCATCATCATCATCATCATCAGCAGCAGCATCATCACCACCACCACCACCACCATCACCACATACATCAGCATCGTCATCATCCTCACCATCAACATCAGCATCACAACCACCACCATCATCATCATCATCATCAGCAGCAGCATTATCCTCATCCTCACCCTCATCAACAACAACAACAACAACAACAACAACAACAACAACAACAACAACAACAACAACAACAACAACAGTAGCACCTTCATCCTCATACTCACCATCAATTTCATCACCAGCGACACCACTATCATCATCACCATCATCATCAAGAACAACAGCATCATCATCATCATCAGCATCCGAATCAGCATCATCGAAGTCGTCGTCGTCGTTGCCGTCGTCAGCAGAAGCAATTGCAGCATCATGATCAGCATCAGCACCATCATCACATCAGTATCAGCAGCATCATCAGCAGCAGCACCATCATCATCAGCATCAGCATCAGCATCATCATCAATTTCATCATCAACATGATCAGCATCAGCATCATCATCATCAAAAACGGCATCGTCATCGTCATCATCATCAACATCATCTTCATTAGCATCATCATCGTCAGCATCAGCATGTGAAGCAGCAGCATCACCGCCAGCATCGACATCATCAACATCTTCAGCACCATATTCATCAGCAGCGTCATCATCATCATCATCATCAGCATCATCATCATCAGCATCATCATCATTATCATCATCATGATCATCATCATGATCATCATCATCATCATCATCAGCATCATCATCATCATCATCATCATCCGCATCATCAGCATCAGCATCATCATTATCATCGTCCTCATATTCATCCGTATCATCAGCACCAGCATGAGCACCAGCAGCATCATCATCAGCATCACCAGCAGAACCATCACCATCTTCCTTACCATCGCCATTGTCATCACCATCGTCAACAACAGCATCGTCATCCTCGTCCTCATAAACATCGTGGTCAGCAACGTCACCATCATCAGCATAAGCGTCATCAACATCATCATCATCATCATCATCATCATCATCATCATCAGCATCGCCATCATCATCATCAACACCACCAGCAGCAGCAGCAGCCTCATCGTCGTCATCAGCATCCTCTTCACCATCCGAATCATCATTATCATCCGCAGCAGCAACATCATCTTCCCCACCATCATCATCCCAATCATGATCCCTCCAACGATGCTCAGCCTCATCCTCCTCTTCCCCCTATTCCTCCGCCTCCTCTGCCTTCTCTTCCTAATTCTCCTCCGCCCCTCTTCTCGCCGTTCCACAGCCCCCACCCAACCCTCACCCCATTCTCTCCTCTTCCTCCTCCTCCTTCTCCTCCTCTTCCTCCTCCTCCTCCTCGTCATCATCGTCACCATCATCATCAGCATCATCATCAGCATCATCATCATCATCACCACCACCACCATCATCATCATCATCATCATCATCATCATCATCATCATCATCATCATCCACATTGCTCGTCCTGCTCCTACTCGGTTCAACCATCCCGCTTGAATATCCCCATCCGCCTTTTTCTCCTCCTTCTCTTTCTTCTCCTCCTCCTTCTCCTCCTCCTCCTCCTTCTCCTCCTCCTTGTCCTCCTCCCTTCACCTCCCCAAGTCCTGGGCGGAGGTGGAGCTCGGCGTGTTGATTCATGACCAGGCCCGTCTCGGGCCATTCGAGAACTGCTGACCCCTCCCCCAATCCACACAGGGCGGTCGGAGAAGGAGAAATCTTGCAGCGGGTGGTCGCTCTCATTGAAGACAGCACAGCCCGCCCCCACCCCCACCCAGGACCCCCACTCCCGACATGATGATCCAGGGGGGTCCTGGCTGGGGTGTGTGGGGGGGGTACGTTTGTCGTGGGCGCAAAAAAATCACCCTCACCCCCAGCCAGGACCCCTGGATCACCAGGTCGGGAGTGGGGGTCCTGGGTTGGGGTGGGGGCGGGTTGGGCTGTACTCACTCGTCCTCTTCCTGGTAGTGTTTCCTAGAAGGCCCTCATGCTCTGGATCCTCCTTTGAACTAGGTCGCGCTTGACGCGGCTACACGCCGCGCTCCACCTCCCCAGCACTCCGTCCTCCTAGTCCTCCAGCCCCTCCGTCCTGGACGCGGCTCCAGGACGAGGCGCGCCAAGGCGTTCGCCAGCTAGCTGGCAAATGCCGTCGCGAAACAACCCAACAGCCGCAATTGAGAGTGGGGCAGGGGCGGCGGTGTCGTCAGCAGCCTGCGAGGATCACGAGCAAACTTGAAGACGCCCGCCTCAGGCGCCGAGTTCTCGTCAAAACAAAATGTGTGGGTCGCGGGTGGGTCGCGGGTGGGTCACGGGTGGGAGGAGGAGGAGGAGGAGGAGGAGGAGGAGGAGGAGGAGGAGGAGGAGGAGGAGGAGGAGGAGGAGACTCATCGCGGATTGTTTGAACGGTACCTGGCAGGAGAAATTCTTGCTTTCGACGATAGCGACGACGACGACGACGACGACGACGACGACGACGACGACGACGACGACGACGACGACGACGGTCGCGGGCAAGTCGCGGGCGGGCTGCGGGCAAGTCTCGGGCAGGTCTCGGGTGGGTCGCGGGTGGGACGCGGGGCGGGTCGCGGGCAGGACGACGACAACCCAGCAGCAGAGCACAACAGCACACCACAGCACAGCAACGACAGGAGCCCGCACCGCAGATCCCCACTAAGGCGCGCACCCAGATCGGGCGTTGGCAGAGCTGGGTTTATGGGAACCTGGTTTAGTGATTTGTACCGGGGGCGCCCCCCCGTCCCATTTCCACTAACCGGGACTGCCGTCACCCGAAAAACACCAGTTACGGCAAACCTGGTCTAGTGAATCTGGCCAATTGAGGGGCCCCAGGGCCCTACCACTGACCGGGTCCCCATTCCCGGGGCCCTGGCTGTGCCCGACCAGAGACGGTGCAAGACCGTGCGGCCCCCTCGCTTTGGTGCCACGAGCGCCCCGTGGCCCTGCCGGCGACTCGGCCCCTGGGCCCGGGCCGACAGGCCACCCGCGGGGGCGCGCGCCAGAACCCGGCCGAACGCTCACGGAGGTGAGTTCGCCGGCGGCTCCTCCGTCCGCTCCTCCCCCTCCTCCCAAGCCCCTCCTCCTTCTTCTTCTTATTATCATTATTATTATTAGTATCATTATTATTATTACTAATATTATTATTATTATTAATATTCTGATTATTATTATGATTATTAGTAATATTATTAATTTTAGTATTAGTATTATTATTATTGTTATTAATATTATTATTATTATTTATATTATTATTATTGTTATTATTAGTATTATTATTACTATTATCAATAGCATTAGTAGTATTATTATTACTATTAGTATTAGTATTATTAGTATTATGAATAATATTATTATTATTATTAATATTAGTATTATCATTATGATTATCATTATTATTATTAGTATTAGTATTAGTAGTAGTATTATTATGCTTATTATTGTTATTATGTTTATTATTCTTATTTTTCTTCCCACCTCCTATGACGACGGACGAGAGAGAGAGAGAGAGAAGCAGAGAGGCGAAGAGGCAGAGGAAAAGAGAGAGGGAGAGGAGAGAGGAGAGAGGAGAGAGAGAGAGAGAGAGAGAGAGAAAAAAAAAAAAGAGAGAGAGAGAGAGGGAGGGAGAGGGGCACCGAGTGCGGGCCGAGTCTGGCAGGCCGACGGGGCTGCAGGCGCCCCGCTCGGCCACTCCCCCGATGGAGCCAGGAGCGAGGCGGGCGAAACGGGAGCCCGCGGCACTCCCACCGCGTGGCCGCCGGGGGGGGCGCACGACAGACCCCTGGGGCGCGGCAGGCGGCCACGGCGCGGCGCACGGTGCGGTGAGCGCTCGCGTGGGGCGCAGACCGCGCCCGTGCAGCGAGCAGCGGCGACCGACCTCTCCCGGGGCGGACAGCCCCAGCAGGGACGAGGCTGGGCAGCAAGGCTGGGGTGAAGCGAGCGGCCTGACGGCCGCGCCTAGTGGGCGATGCCGGTGGTCAGCACGGCGGTGGAGGCTGCGCGGCGGTGGAAGCTGCACGGCGGTGGAGGCTGCAGCGGTGCGCGGGCCCTGGCCGACGGCGTCCCAGGCGGCCTGGAGTGAAGCGAGGCGTCGTTGGGCGGCGGCGAGGCGGTCGGGCCCACCTGGCATTGGTGCTCGAGGGCGGCCAAGCCCGTGGGCGGTGGCGTACGGCTCGGGGCCGTCGCGGCCGCAGCCATGAGGTGCCCGGACGGGACTCTCCGCCGATCACGGGAGACCGTGGGGCTCCTGGGGAGGCGGGCTGGCAGGGGGGACTTGGGTAGTCGCCGCAACGGAGAGCCCGCGCTGGGGGCCGACCCTGGGCCACAACTGCCGCAGCAGGCCTTGGCCTCTTCGGCGGGCGGATCGGTCACAGCGCCAGCGCCGCGAGTGGCCGCGCGCCCCGTGGTCGGGATGGCCGGGAGGGGCGTGGCAGCGACGGGGGCACTCTGGCGCCGCCGCAGCGCAGGCCTGGGGGCCGTCGTCGCCGTCCACGTCGCCACTCGGGCCGAGGGGGTCGTCCTCAGCATGGGCTGGGAGGCCGCCGCCCCATGCGGCGCCGAGTGCGTCGCCACAGGTGTCCTCGGGGGGGCCGTGGAGGCCGGGGCCAGCGCTGGGATCGGTGCCCG